TCTGAGATTAACCGATGTACAGGCCGATATGTTTATCCTCCCAGAAATAGTCTGATGCCAGTTAACCTGCAGCGGAGCATTGGAACGCTTGGTCGTCCTGGGAGGGACTTTATCTGTGACCGGATCGCATCCGTGGTAAAACCCCCTCTGCCATCTACCACCACCACCTCTGCCTGGCGTCTGTCCACGCGTAAAAGTGAGAACATTGAACCAATTAGCAAAAGCTTTAAAAATGAATAGATCATGAAAAGAAAGAAGAACAAATGAGAAGATGAACATCGCGAAAACTTGCGGAACTCTTTTTCGCAATCAATCAATAGTTTCTCCACCTTTAGAAGACAGGAATATGTATACTCAAAAGATCCCAGCTAATCACGGGACTACACATGGTCCTTTTGAAAACAGTGAAAAGAGAAATATAGAATGGTTAAGAACTTAAAGGCACGACCCGCGTTAATTTTATGCGCAGAATGCATTCAAGAACACGTGAGGAAAGCGCGACCCTATTGCGACAAGGCCACGGCTCCGCCCACTGGCCACGACTCTTCTTCTTAGCGTTCTTGTCCAACTGTTGTCGGGTACGCTTCTTTGACCAACGCTTTCCAACGGTCCCTGTAAATAGAATCGGCTGCGGACAGGCCAGCAGCAGTCATGTCCATATTCAGGTTGTCTTTCCACCGCATTCTAGGTCGGCCTTTTGGACGTTTACCGGCGAAGACGACCTTATCAGCGGACTTCGATACAGCATCAGGAGGTCTCCGTTGAACGTGACCATACCAGCGGAGACGAGCTGCGGCAAGGGAGTTGGCAATCGGCTGGACCTTCATCCTGTCTCGGACTGTTTCGTTGCGGATTCGGTCGAGTCGCGTGTGTCCCAGACTCCATCGTAACATTCTCATCTCCATAACACCGTAGGCTCTTGTTTCCTCGCCGTCATCTGTTTAGTCTCGGCTCCATAGATGGCGACTGGCTTCACGACTGAAGTGTAGATCTTTGACTTCAGGCGTATTGGTATTCTCCTATCACAGAGAACGCCAGTAACAGATCTCCATTTGCTCCATGCAGCGTTGATTCTTGCAGTGGTGTCGGCCTTGGCATCTCCGTCTGCGACAAGCGTAGACCTGGCAAGCTCTCCCTTCGGAGATACGGAAACGTCGTTGCTCTGAAGAGTGGTGTTCCATCGACTACGATTGACGATGTTGTTGCGGTGGTGCACATATATTCCGTCTTGCTTATATTAAGCCTGAGTCCATGGTTGGCAAGTCTCTCTTCCAGCGGTTGACGCGCCGTTCTAATTTCCCTTTGGATCTGTCCATCAGCAGTACATCGTCAGCATATCCCAGCGTCAAAGGCGGCTCTTTCCTGATGTTCCTCGTAGCGTAGTCCATACATAGAATGAACAACAGTGGCCCACTGGCCACGACAACGCCCAATTATTATTTTTGAGTGTTATCTGATGGTGCGGTTGAACTGCTACTAACTACCCCACTGCTGATGACTTCCGACCTCTGCGCAGTCTACGGTAACCGTGTGTGCGGAATCAAGCCTAGCAACTGCCCCACTCATTGGTGCACACGTTTGAATGGAACGACAGAGAGTGCACGCGTGTCATCGAAGAAAGCTCAAGGTAAGGCCCGACAATGCCCATACGATCAGTACGGACTGAATATTCAACAGAAAGATCGAGGTCAGACAGCAGTACTGATCTGCTCTTTGTGGTGCCTAGCAGTGAGTGCGACCTAAAAAATTAACCGACACCAAAAACACATTCAATCTATCTGAATTTTCCATGGAAACTTAGAATAGTCACAAGAGAAAGAACAAAAGAAAGATAAGAGAGAAAGATAAGAAAGTCCAGTTGGTGTTGTGGTCTTTTTTCACACTTTTTATTAAGCATACAATGGGAATCAATCAATGATCTGTGTTGTCAGCCATTAGAGGAACCCTGACGGAATGGAACAGGTGTGAGAGCTATATGTCAGAAGAACAGGAATGACTCGCCTTCCTTATTGGTGCGCACTTGCTCTTACAGAAGGTGCGAAGCACCGGTGAGAAGCGGAGGGATCGTGAGTCTCCGCCCAACCGATGATAGCGGATTGTGCATTTGAGCGCAAAGCTTCAACGAAGTACAAGATCACGTACGACAGAGAACTCTTTCAACGTCGAACGCTGAGTCTCAGGGTCTCCTTTCCCAAGCCAGTGAAGCGCTATACTTTTTAAGACAATTAAGACAGATGTAAGACATTCAAAAGCAATTAGTTGAACATCAGAAGGCCTCTACGCGTCGTATTTGTGCAAGGTAAACTGGAGATGGAAGGCATTATTAATAACAGCAGCGTTTCTCTACGGCAATTGCGCACGCGCCAGAAGTGCTACCACTGCGACAGCGCCTCGTACCGCGTCATCGCAAAGTCTCAACGGCACCTACCACTTCAGCTCTGAAAACTTCAGTAACCTTATTTACCTGAAAGATGTAATGAACAGCATCAAAGATGAGATAGTCTGCCGCGTATTTATCGACTATCGACCTATCCGCATAGGACTCCGGGACGAGATTCACGTCGTTTCCTAGGAAAAAAATTTCTCCTCAATAATCGTGGATCTTAAGATTTTCGACACAAAAAAGAGAATAAATTCTGTTTATTTCAAAAATAGGCGGGAAATCGTAAAAGACGTTGCTGTAATTGAGTTTACGCCGTGGCGTGACTGAGACCAGCTCTTTGCGCCTGCGCGGACTTTTGCAGTAGATCTTAAACACCTTCCTTTATGTGAGTCTGGGAATAGTAAAGGGATTAGTCACGCCAATGGAAGGAACCATCAACTCGCGCCGCGACCTGAATCACGGTGGCGCCATGGACATGTAAAAAATAACAGAACTACCTATCAACTGGGCGCTTCCCCAGACATAGGGTATGAACTGGTAGTCGTCGATGGCAAATTGAGCAACAATCGCTGGTCGCATCCGATACTTCTGTTGCAGGATTCGGCATAGCTTAAGGTACCTAAACGGCATTTTCTGTAAATGGCTAGTGCACTGATTTATGCAGAATGAGGAAAACGCACTTGTCAAACACTCCTAAAACGACGGCTTTTTGATCGGCAACATCAAGAAAACCAATGCGATAAAGACACATTAGGAAGATGAGAAACGAGGCCTCATTTCCTGAAGAGGAATCAAATTGAAGCTCATACACCTTCGTGAATTGTCCACTGCCAGAAAATAGAAAAAAACTGCCACAAAGTATTTTAAAGACATTTGCGGCGTTCTAGGAAGAGTCGTGCAAGTCTCCCGAAAGGCCAACATCACCTCTGCGAGCGGTATATCTCACCATGGGGGTGGTAAACGCGTGGAAAGTCTCCCGGTCAGTTCACCCAGCCACATCGCTTTTTGCCGCGCACCATGATCATTAGGGTAATGTCAAGGCCTATTTCAAATATGCATGATAACCTATAGAGGACCGGAGCCAAGGTGCGCCTTATACCCGAGAGAATAGGATAAGAGAAAGCTGGCAAAGAATAAAAAACGAAGAAGGAAAAAGAGCTGCAGTGCAGACATCTACACTTGTTAACGAGGCTGCCACATACTGCGACAACATTTTGCCAGCTGTTGCAGGCTTTGTATGCTATCGTTAACCAAAACGAAAGTCAAGGCAGCAATTAGATGTCAGGTGGAAACGAGAAATCCGAAAAATATTTGGAAACAGCCTTTGAATACCCTCACCTACACCGTAATCAATCTCTTCCGGCCTCCCGAATGAATCGATAAGATATGCCGACAGTTCCACTATTGCAGGATAAAGATCTGGTCGTAGAAGACCTTCTAATAGCGAGTTCAAATTCTAAATTCAAGCCAAATTTCGTAACATTTATCGTCGTGGGTTTTGTGTAGTTCTAGGTAGTTTTGATTTATTGAGCCAAAGAGGTTGTCAGGTGGAAAGTTTTATTGAAATTGACCTCTGAGGATTACGATCCTGTCCAAACAACAGGCCAATTCCAATAAACTCTTTCACCTAACAATTTTTTGGCTCAATAAATTATAACTGCTAAAGTTCATAACAATGCGAGGTTTATGAAAAAAGAATCCCAACCCTTTATAGATAGTGCTCCATATTTAAAGCGCTGACGGCAGAACAAATTAGTCCAGCACCCTCTTGAGCCATGCATGAAGAATAGTGAGAAATATTTCTCCCAGCGGGGAATTGAGAAAGGTATACGGGTTTGACCTTTGAGTTTTATGAGTTTTATGAGGATTGCTTCAATCTGATTCTGTAGCATTTGCAACCCTAACGTATTACTGAGCTCCCATCTTCTGTGGGATATTTCTCATGATTCTTAGTAGGACTGCCACATTTCAAGCAAAAGTCTGGGATCTTAGCGGTGGGAATTACCTTCTCCTACCGAACCAATCACCTACTTGAGCTGAGCATTGATGATAGCTGGAAAAACTGTTGGAAACTTACATCACCAAAACGCACTGCAACTTTCTTTCCGAAAAACAAAAAAAAAATCGTACTTTACCTTGGAAAGCAACGAGAACCATTTACGAAAAGCAGGATCTCCGCCATCTCCCTCACCGATGTTTTCCGGCTGCGGCACTTCGTCGAGCCAGCTCTGCAGCACTATTCAGAAGATTTTCGAAGTCATGGCGGAGGACTGCTTCTGTCCTCTCTCAACCCAAGAACCTTTGAATGTACTGACCTCAAGTATATCAAGAAGGTGAAGAAGTGATTTAGACGGTTCTGTTATAAGTAAAGCATCACTCGTCCGGATTCCCTTCACTGCTTCATTCAACTCTCTGATGAATGCTGTGAGATAGCGATAACCCTATAAAATCAAGACAAATCTCAGTTGTAATGAAGAAGCCATGCTGTTATACTCATCAAGGTGAGCATGAGATTTGCAAGAAAAAAATTTCTCGGCCAGGCTGATAAAGAGAGTTCTCGGGAAAGGAAAGGGGAATAAGCTAATCAATCCACTCATGACATGACAGACTATATAGAAATACACTGTGTTCGTTGTTCTATACAAAATCGTCCTAACATACTGTAAAAGTGCCCAAATTGGATTCAGTTCTCAGTATATTGGTGGAGATAAAAGCGCAAGGAGCCACGCTAGGCTGCGTTTATACCTTGCGACTGAAGAGAGCTAGCGATTTGGTAGATTCAGCGGATCCGGCGCGGCGTCCTACGGATTCGATTGAGAGCATTAATGCTTCACAATTCGCTAGCGACTTGCGCCGCTGATCATACCCATACACTCCTTTAGCGCGCAATCATCTAGTCGTCCAAAACTGCCGGATCGCCGTCTCTCCTCGTCGCGCAATCTCTCGAATCGCAGAATCTCCCCACTCATCGAACTTCTTCCGTCGCAAATTATGAACGCGGTCTTATGGACGCTTTTTAGGCACACAGTTATGCACGATGTGTGTATAAAAATCATCACTTCTATAAATCACTAGCTTGGTGTGTCGGCTTGTAGGTCTGTCGGTCTGTCTGTATGTATGTTTGTCCGTCCGGAAAATTACTTCTGACCGTGAGCGCGATGGCGATGGCAAGAGTGATAGAAATCGGCTGCTAACCGAAATAGGAACCAGTCGGTGCTACAGTTTCAATCTGACGGTGATGCTTTGATTGTGATAGTACCTCGGAGCTCACTTACAAAAAGGACACCCCGTCGGTCGGTTTGCAGTCACTAAACTACATGGTTTCCCAAGCGGGATGTGGCCAAGAACGGGAGGCGCTAAGTATACTGCCAGTAAGCCGTTCAAGCGGCCAATTCAAATGGTTGCTAAAGCTTACGCGTGAGTCACGTAGGCATTTTGAGTGAAACTAGAGAAAGGAACGGGCTGAGGGAGTGACTGGACAGTCCTCGTAAGATCTGAGGTTTACAACCAAGTTCGATTCACTGAGATGGCTACCACGTATCGCCACACGGAATGTGGCGTAGCAAACTGGTATTTTTTTTCGAAATCCACGATATGTAGCCCACCCACTGCTGACGTAATTATTCTTTTCCTTAACTGGTGGTGCTGGAGTCAGGAGTCATTGTTAGGGGGAGAGAATACCTAAAATCCGAAAATCTGGTTCCAGGTTGAAATGCGTGGCCAGGTGCCCGTGTCAGTGGTGTTATCCTTAGCATCACCCACCTACCATCTGCTTTTTTAATACTTGACTCAACAATGGGTGGTGCGTCGCTAATTTATTTTTTCTTTCGTGGTTGTCCGCTATAGCCATCTAGGCCTTGCGTCTTGAGAGCGCTTCCTCAAATGTTTAATCATTCGTTCAATCATTGCATAGCTTTTTTTCACCGATTTTAGTGTCAGTTGAGTGTCTAGCCCTTCTTGTTTCTTCTATTTTTTTGCGAATACTGATGACTGACGTACATTCAAATAAATAAAATATTGCAAATATTGTATAAAGAGAATGCGAACCTACCTCAGTGAAAGTGAAAGGGTGAACACGAAATATCGATGTGATTCGCACATCGGGCTCAACGAACACTGTTTCTTCCACATTCGTGTGAATCATTCCTATTACAAATGGCGGATATCACCGCCGTCACGCAGTTTACTATCTGAAATTGAATGATACAGCTTTCTTAGATAAGAATAGTCTTCAAAATGCGTATCGTACTTCCACTCATCGCGGCTGGTTGAATAACTGGAACAGAGCGACCATGCCTGCATGTAACTGGCCAAGAAAAGATTCTGAGCCGGCGGGATTAGTTTCCATTTCAACCAATTTTTTGATTTTCCCCGAACCGGTTGGACTGGGTTGAGGAATGGTCATCTACTGTAAACGTTTAGTTGAAGAACAAATGTTTTTGCAGCCCTTGAAATTCCAACTTTTGGACAACGTTGTTGAACTCGAAAAGGAAGTTGCAGAGAAATCAGGAACCATTTCCAATTCTTCTTACTATGGTGAAATTTCCGTCCTAGGTTTTCTGGCTTTGAAGATTTTCTGCACACTGAACGGAGCGATTTGGGCACTTATGCAGCCAGCTGGTGGGTGCATTTGGGGCAGTAAGTTGCGCAGGTTACGATAATCCCAGTTTTGCACAGAGGCTCTTTCAAAGCCACGGAATGTTACGAGATTAGGTTCTAACCATTTCTTCGAACTTTCTGACACTGAACCATTTCCATTTAACGGTGAAGAAACAGTTGTGAGCAAAAGGAAGACCAGCCATGCCTAAACTAGGTGGGAAGGAGGTTCAAAGTCTGTGAACCAAATCCTTTCCGCAGAAAGTTTTTTCGCCTCTAGTGAAAACTAGTCCGACCCATAGGTAGGAGAAAAAAAAATGGATTCTGGGCACAACCTGCGTTGGGGAAAAATTTTGCAAAGTATACCCCCTCCCCTTCACTCTTTCTGCTATGACCCGGCTTCCCCCAACCCTCATCCTACCTACCAACATACCATCTTCCCAAAACTTCCCAGCTTCGTACTAATCTTGGGAAGTTTTTATGAACAAATGCGACCTCTCCCTCCAGCGACCAGGTACGACCCCTGCGCCTCGGCTCCGCCGCCGCCCAAAGGAACGAGATGCCCACCTGTGCGTGGCTTGCTTTGCACCATGTTCCCTTATTGGAAGGATCGGTTCCCATTTGCTTGAAGAACTCGATCACGGAGAGCACAGAATGCTCTCATTGGAGCAAATTTTTTTAATTCTCAAAGAACTCAAATGCGACAAGACGCCTGCCAGGTGAAGTCGCGTTTACATTTGCGGCAGACACGCTATATGCTGCGTGCGAACGAAATGACTCTCATAAAATAAACCCCCGAACTCGCTAAAAGCCGAGCTATACCGCTAAGCTTCCTGTGTAGTCTAAACATAATCCTTTATTTGGCGTTTCGTGGAAAGTCTCAGCGTTTTCCAACACTTTTTTTCTTAATAACTCATCGGATTTAATCGAAATAAGCACCGTTCGAATCAGCACACTTTTGCCAATGTGACCTCAGTCGATAAATACCATCAAAGAGAAAACTGGATGGTGGAAAATCCACGAAGGCTTTTTTTTTGCCTGGTCCTGATTGATGAAGTATTTTCCAGAAAGGAAGTTCTGAAAATGTTTTAAAAGGTGACAGTCGGTTGGTGAAAGATCTGGAGAATATGGCGGGTGAGGTAGAACTCAAATCCCCAATTCGTTTAATTTATGGATGTGATTTGTGAAAGGTGGCTTGAGGCGAATGGTCGTGGGGTGGGCCGTTGTCTTACAAAAGGACCCTTCTCTGTTGACAAGCGCTGGCTGCAGCTTGACATGAATTTTCCGTAAACCTTTTTTGTTTGTTTCTTTTCGCCAGCTAGGGACTCTGCTGTTTTGGATGTTGGTGCCTTGTGACCAAAAGTTATAGTGAGATTCACAGCCAGCCGATGACCACCACACTGTGACCATAATCTTTTTTTCGTGAGGATTCGGCTTTGGAAATTGCCTCGGTGGTTCGTCGGCATCCAACCACTGTCCGGAACGTCTCCTCTTTATCATACATGATCCACTTATTAACAGAGGTGACGGTTTTTTTATTGGCTTTATTGTTATGCGCCACGTCAGTCTCAACGTAACAGGACAGCATAATAAAACCAACGAAAAGCTTCTTAACTGACATCTAAGAAAAAATAAAAAATAAAAACTTACAACTGTGAACATAACAGAAAAATTAATAATAGCAATCACATAAAAACCTGTCGTATGCGGCAACACATGTAATAAAACCTAACGAGCCTAAGACACACGAAGAGAGCCGCCCTTCCGGTGGTCTCCGAATATGAGCCTAGTGAGTGAAAGCAGACAACCTTCAAGGCCCCACGTACACAGGAGGAGCCATGAGATAATAATCAGCTAATGCGGGAATTCGTCTAGGGGAGGACACCACATACAGGTGGCACCAGGGCACGCCCTGGATACCTTGTAAGCTGGTTTTACGGAGGCTCGTCAGGAGGGCTTTGGGGTGTCGGTCTGAAAAACGGCGGTCGTTTACTGTTGTGCCACCAAAAACTCAGTGAGAGAAGCAATACCTCGAGACGTGCCAATTTTTTCGGCGGGCTGTCAACATTGTGGAGGCAGCCGCCACTGGTCGAGTTTTTTTTTTTCATATTCCCAGTGTGTCTCAGACCATCCGCAACAGTGGATTTACCAACGCCAAGCTTTTCTGCAATCTCTCGAACTGTTTGGGACGGATCAGCCTCCTCAAAGCCCTCGTCAGGTATTGCTTTAGGTCGACCGCTACGGGGTTCATCTTCAAGGCTGAAATCTCTAGAATAAATGTGTCGAACCACTGTCGCGCAGGTCGCTCTTCTACAACACCTATTCTGGGCCCCAGCCACTGGCTTAATTTGTGCGATCTGCGACTCGCGGATTGATCCCAATTGTAGTTGAAGAACAAATTTCGTCTCGAAGTTGCTCTTTTGACATGCTTCAAAAGACTTGGGAAAAGGGGGTTTTTCAAGCAATGGTGAAACGGCAATAATATACCACCAGATAGCGCAAAAAAATTCTCTCAGGTAGCTCTTACTACTGAGACGCAAGGAAGAATGAGTTTTTAATCAGCAATGAATGTACAAAAAATGGTAACACGAAACACTGAGAACTTTCCGGATAACTTAATACTATTCGTCTGTGGTGTTAGATACGTTCCTTCCTCTCGGAATGACCTTTTGACTTTAAAACATAGCACTTGATTTTAGAAGTTTATTAAGTATACAAACTACCAAATTCTAAAGCCTAACTCTTCTTCAACAACAAGTACAGGTAAAAGTTAGTAAGAAAACAAAAAAAAGGAAACAGATACCAGTATCAACACGAAAAAACAGAAACATTCACAACCAGCAATAACAAGATCATGCAACTACGGCGAGAAAAATAATGAAAAGCCATGCAGACTATTTCTTGATACCTAACTATAGTCAACAATCTATACAGAAGTATGTAATTGCCTTGAAAGCTACAACCACCAGTTTAAAACTTCAGAAAAGTTATGGACAATTTGACGATTCTACAAACGCTTTCGTGATCATTTATTCCCAAATGTTAAGCGAATCCACTGGGAAAACAGAGCCTTAAGGTGAGGCAAAAAAATATGGACAACTCTATCTACAAAAACGATGAATCACAATGGACTCGAACACCGACGATACACGTTGACGTACTGATGACGGGTTGAATTCCTGGAAATGCAATGATTTAATATCGAACTTGGATAAATAAAAAAGGACTAAGAATAAATGCCGTTGATAATCCGCTTTCTGGGACGCGGCATGAGTCTTCTTTTATTCTGAAGCCAGTAACTTTTCAATGCAGTGCGACCTACACAATGACTTGATGGGTGCAAACCAGCACTTTTGCCCCTATAGGTTATTTCTGATACCACCTAGGCAGCGTTCAGACTTCGCGATGACGCGAGTCCACGCGCTACCATTTGCAGCGTCGCAATGCTAGACCGGAACGCAGCCATTGATTACCAATTGATGCCGGCCGCATTTGGGTCGAGAGAGTGTGTGAGAATAGGAGGGGCGCGTCGTCTAGTAAAAAAAAGCTGATACTCCCATGCTCTTGTATACTCTCCCCAGCAGCCAGCGCCGATCGATACCCGTCTACTCGGCTGCTTTCCCGCTTGAAGCATTGGAACGCTGTTGCAATGGTAGCGCATCGACACTCGTTACAGCGCATCGTCGCGCGTCATCGCTAACTCTGAACGCTGTCTCACTGGCATTGGGAAATTAGGCGACTGTGCTAAGCGGCTGGTAACATGAGGAACTTGACATAATGTGATTTTAGTGTGATATAATTAGTTTATATTTGTTCCAATGATTACAACATTATTGTATGAAACTGTGATATAATTTTCAAATATTGATTTTTTTATTCACTTATTTATCTAATCATTTATTTATTTATTCATTTATTTATTTAGTTTTTCTTTTGGATCGAAATTTTCGTTTTTATTGAAAAAAAAATAAACCACCTGCACTTTCAATATTATGAATAATTGCTGGTACTAAATCAACATTAACTCGGCGCCTCAGTACAACAAACTAAACTTTCCACGATCGATCACTAGAATGTTTTGTGGGCAGATGGGCAAGCGGGTACAGCTCTGGGTTCAAATCCCCTCAGTTATCGGAGATGAATCGAATTTCTCCTAATACGCTCCAAGTTTGTGTTTTAAGCCTGATGAGGCGGAGGTGACAAGCAAAGATGAGTGGAAACTCTTATTTGTACAGCAGATCACCCTGGGAGTTGTTAGATAGTCCTACATACAAATAAAGAACATGCATCCAGATCCCACCATGAAACTGAATAGAAACTGCGAAAACTACCCAAGGAGGGATTCGTTAGCGACAAACACTACGTAAACCTTTCTGCTGAT